TTCTTTTCTTTTCTTTTCTTTTCTTTTCTTTTCTTTTCTTGTCCCCTCCCCTCCCCTCCCCTCCCCTTTCTGTATGTGCAATACTAGAGATCCAACCCAGGGCCTTGCACATGCTGCTCCCTCCTGTCAGGGAGCGGTAACTCTCATTTGAGCTTCCTGGACCCCCCCCCCCCATAGCTTTATCAAACTTTATTGGAAATGCCTGTTTACTCATCTTGTACGGATAGTTCATTCAGTTAGCTAACAGGTATTTATTTTGGGTCTACTATGTTAAGTGCTAACACGTTCTTCAGTGTTGGAGATGTAAGAGGGGAGAAAAACAAACTCAACTCCTCTCCTGGCCTAAAAAATTCTTTCTGACTCAGGATCCATATTCTATTTATTTTTTGTAGTTGAGACCATTGTGTTACTTTCTCTTTGTTGTGACAAAATACCCAACACCCACAGGTTGAAGGAGAGAAGGTTTATTTTGGCTCCCAGTTTGTAGAGATTTCAGTGCATAGTATGCTGGCTCCACCATGGGGGAAATGGCAGAGGAGACATAGTTTATGGCATGGTAGCAGGAAGCAGTGAGGCATCACGGGAGGAGGGAAGGAGATAGACCCTCCCAGGCCATGACTCTAGTGACCCACCTCTGCCCTCCAGGCTTCATCTCCCAACATCACACCCAGCTATAAACCTATCAGGGACTAATCCAGTATCACACACTCAGAATCCAGTTGTCTCCCAAAAGCCCCACCTATGAGGGTGTGAGGCTTTGGAGGGGACATTTAGATATAAGCCATAACAACCATATAGGTGCTCAATAAATTTCAAGTGAATGGTGGAGGAAAGAATAAATGGTTTTGTGCCCTACTGAGCAACCCCCATCATTTTTGCTGTCCTGCTTAATTATCCTAAAACACAGCTCATGATGACTAGCTTGATAGACGATTTTACTTTGTCACATTCCTGTACAGCATTCCCATGATTCCTCTGGGTCTTTGAAGCTGCCCTATGTGTTAACTTTGGTCTGCAAGTACAGTGTCAAAGGTGAACCAGTTCATTGGTGATGTGGAGCCTCTGCTGATGAGCAGGCTTGCATGGCCCTGCCATTGTGCCTGCCACATGCCCTTACCCCCAGCTAGAATCTCAGGAAACTTCGAAATGGGAAACAGGCTGGTGCTTGGTTTCCACTTAATTCTTTTCTAGGTTCATCGTAGACTCTCCCTGGCACTGCTTAAAAGGGAGATTGATTTAATGGATATTAAGATATAATTTCCCTTTTAGCTTCCCCTCACCTCCCACCTTTGCCCTCAATTATCTGTATGAAACATGGTAGGCTCAGGTCCATTTTAATTGGATTTTCTGACAGTTGCCAAAACTGGAACCAAGTGCCCTTGGCCGTCACTCAGGTCAGTTCAGTTTTGTGATTAGATTTGTTTAATTAACCTAACGGGGAGGCCCTGAGCACCCAGCTGAGAGGGATGGGCAACTCCCCAAATGTTCTCCGGACACTGTGCTCATGGTAGTCTTGGTTCTGTTCCGGGAAACCCTAACCTCAACCTAAGCTAGCAATGGAAGTGTCCATGTATCAGTGAGACCAGGGCTTCCAGGGCTGTGGCCTTGAGCTAATATGTGTCAGGGGGCAAGATGGAGAAGAGGAATGGGAAGAACTGATTCATCCCACAGGAGTCAGCATGAGGTCCATTGTAAATGGGCTGTGTCTTTTGGGTTTTATCTCTTTGAGTCCAAGTTTCTTATCTGTAAAATGGGAACAATAAAGAGCACCTAAAAGATGTCTGCAGAGATTCCCTGAGACAGGACCCTTAATGTGACCAACTCAATGCTTGACAGACCTCCATGGGTCTGTCTCTGATGTAAGCACACACTGACATGGGTGTGCATGCACAGATGTGCACACACACTGTACAGATAGAGTTAACCATGTCTTCATTTCAGCCAGGCTCCTCTTCATTCTTTTGCTTCCATCTCATTTTTTTCTAATACTCCTTTAATTTCCCCCTTCTTTCTGGATTTCCTTTCTTCTTGCTTCCCATCTCTAATTTTCTCTTTGCACTGGGCTGCACATCCTTATTTTTCACATGGACTTTTCTCCTCTGGGTCCTGTCTGCTGCTAAAAAGCCTTGTGGTCTGGGCAGGTGCTCCATCCTCTCTCCATCATCCTTGCTGTGCTGTCCGGCTCTGCAGTCATTCGTTCCCATATCTGTCCCCCCTCATCAGACTCTGCACCCCTTTACATGAGGACTGTTCCTGAGTGAGCTAGCAAATAGAAGAGATTTGTTAAAGAATGATGAAAGGAGGGAAGGACACTTTACAATTCAAGGTCAGCCTAATAAGCTTCAGAGAAGTACATGGTCACTACTGGTCCCTATGAATCTTTATTAAATAGAGACCTTGGGCTAAAGATGTGGCCCAGGGGTAGAGCATTTGCCCAAAGTTATGGTTTATATCTAGATGTCCCCTCAAAGCCTCATGCACTCATAGGTGGGGCTTCTGGGAGTGACTGGATCATGGGTGTGTGATACTGGATTAGTTCACTGATAGATTGGTTTAGCATATTTTGGATGTGTCTGGGTGATGGGATTACCAGAGAAGGAAGACCCACCCTGGGTGTGGGTGGCACCAACCAATAGGCTTGTAGCCTGGATGGAATAAAAAGTGAAAAAAGGAAGCTTCACTGCCTCCTGCCCTGGCATGAACTGCTTCTCCTCTGTGAATCCCCTCTGCCACACCACCCTGCCTTGGGGCCAGCTGACTATGAACTGAAACCTCTATGAACTGTGAGCCAAACCTCTCGTCCTTTAACCTGTGGATGTCAGGCATTTTTGCTAGCAATGAGAAAGTAACTAAGACATCTACTGTTCATGAGGCCCTGGGTTCAATTCCCAGCACTACAAGAAATAAAAATTTTAAAGAAGAATAAAAATAAAGAGGTATCTCTTTCCTCCCACTCGGGGGCTTAACTTGCTGAATGGTCCATGGACTGGATTTCAGACCTCATTTGCTTCCTTGACTTGAGACCTTGTGTAGGAAGCCTGCACAGCGGCATCAACTGTGATATAGAACTGCGCGAGGATGCAGGCATAGGGTGCTGGGGCACTGGTCTGAATCACAGAGAAGTGGACTGAGCTTCTATTTTCAATGAAGCCCCTGCCTTTGGTCTGCTTCATGCTTCTGTAGCTTTTTCTGTAGAGCTTTAGTGAGGCATGAATAGCTGCCACCCTGTCATTTAACCGAGGCCACTGCCTCTGGGGCAGTGAGTTGAAGAGCACCTCCTCCCTACATTCACTCTGAAGCTGCCCAGTTGGTGACCTTTCTGTGTAGCTTCTTTGATTAAGTGCTCACTACATGTTGGCATCATTCAGTGTTTTTTGTTCCCTACAGAAAGATCTCCATGAAGTATGTGGAGTTATCCCATTTCACAGGTATGAAAATTAAGGCTCAGGAAAGTACAAGTAAGTAGAGGACTCTTTAGCACTCTGTGGTCTCTTCTTCCCCAGGGATAAAGCCTGAGCTCTGAAGTCTCTGATTGGAAGATGCCTTGTAGAATCTCCTAGGCCTCTTGGAAGGACCCAGTAGTTAGGTGGGAAGGTAAATCTCAGAGCTGGATGGGAGTATGATCTGAGGGACTGCCTCCGTTACAGATTCTTTTAGCCCTGATCCAAGCCATATCAAAACCACATAGACATTCTCCTGATGAAAAGCATGTCATTTCTCCTTGCTAAAGAACAATGAGAGAGAGAGAGAGAGAGAGAGAGAGAGAGAGAGAGAGAG